GGCTGCGGGGGAGCCGAGGCCGCTCTTACCTCAGTCGTGCGGCGGTGCCTACGCCCCGGTTCGCTACCGTCCCAGATGCAGGTAAAGGGAGAGAGTCAGGCTTTGCGCCTCCTTACAGCTCTTCAGGAGGCTGAGGCTCACCCAGCCATCACCCACCCCCAGCTCTGGATGTGACCAACCAGCACTCCCCAGGGTCAGACATTCGTTGGAAACTGCACCTTCAATAAAACCCGTATTTAGGACAAAAAGGAAAAACGCAGGACCACCCAAGTTGCTCCAGAGTATACCCACCTGCTACCTCTCAAAGATGCCTGCTGTGAAAGAGGTACAGAGCAAGACACATTAAAATCTACATACTTCCATCTAGTGACAGAAAAAAGAAAACCAATTTAGGTGCCAGCTGATGAGAAGATTCACACAAGACAAAAAGCAAGGGGGCAAGTTTGTCCAGAAAGGTCACTTTATTGGAAAACCTAAAATGGACTTTAAACCTGCAGCCCTCCTTCCACAGCAGTGGTTTCAACGGGCTCCCCAAGTTACCTTAACAGATCCATTACAGACATGAACTGCAGTACAAATTTTAAAAGTGCAAGTACTCTGAACTCCACACCTACTTTTATAACCTGGCAGGAAACACAAACGCTTCACAGCACTTGGGAGGCCAAATTGGCTCCCTGCGATCCCCACAGGGTACAACATACATCACTCGGAGAAGAGTATGATGCAGGACATCATAGAAGGTAAGGGTGAGGTTCCTTCAAATTTATTTTATTGCAGTAAAACCTCTAAAAGGTAGAGCTGTAAAAAAAACAATTCTAAAAAGCATTATTTAAGAATAACAGCACCTTACACTGCATTTGTTCTTATTTAAAATTCTATTTCCCAAAAATACATTCCTAAATATACAAACTATACAATCTTGTCACTTTAATGCTGGTTTCTGTGATGATAACTTCAACCTAAAAATCTGCAAAACATCCACATACTGACAAAAAGCTCCAATATACAAATGCCTTGGTACCTTCATAATACCACATAAATAACTTCAAAACCCAAACTGCATTTGTAGAATTGTCCAGAAAGCAAATACTTTACGGTGATCACACATCGTCTGCAGAGAGCGTTGGAATGTTTATCCTTGGCCGTGTGAAAAACGCCATTTTCTCTCTAAAAAAAGATGAGCAGTTGTTAATGCAACAGAAGTCTTGCCAGAAATGTCCATCATCCACATTAAAATTTATCCCAGGAACTGTCACCACACACAGTGGCAACACATCTTCTTGCAACCTACACCCATTTACATATCGGATATGAGGCATCCTTGCAGTTAAACTCGCAAAGCTGATCTTACCAAAAAAGCCAGTCCAGAAAGGCTTGCGTTTTTTGCTTTCTAGGTATGTTACTTAGGGAAGCAAAGGGCTGCTTCTGTATTAAACAAGGGATTTGTGAATTTGTTGCTAGGTGAGGACTGACTTGGAGAACTGCTGGTTGCTTTGAGATTACGTGCAACGCTGCAGCTAGTTTCCCTGACTCTCAGACATTATACTTTGGCATAAAAATACAGACATTTCTGTTTCAGCAGAACAGTTAACTGCTACTACAAAGATTAACATTCTTTATCAGCATTTCAGTCATCTGCAGAAAAATCATGGCAGCAGTCAGTCTTCCCTCCTCTTTACCTGTGACCTGTGATTACCTGAATGACTGCACTTCCAGAGGCTCCTTCCGATTCTGTCCTCGCAGTCTGTGGACATCCTTGGCAGCAGCTCTCATCATTTTATCAGCCTTGAGCTCACACCTGTGTTCTGTTTTTTCCACCTAAACAAATAATGGAAAAGAGCTGTTTGTAGTTCCAGGAGGAATCATTTTATCCCAACTCATCTCCAAGTACAGCAGGATTTCAACTGCGGGTCTGAGGGGTTTGGAAGCTGCTGACTCTGGAAATCACAAGCCACAGAAGCTAGACTGAAGGTGTGTCAGCTAACCACTGTAACAGAGAAAGCTTTTATAAAAGCTTTTTCTTCCAGCCCTTTGGTAAGAATTATGGGTGCCATCTGCACCTTCGTTGTGTCTTCCTGACATTTTTTAAGCCAGCAGATCAGCTCATGCAAGAACATGGCAACCCATGTTCCAGCTGCGCCCCAAAAAGCACCTCGTACCAACTCACTCTTACACTTCGTGCCATCATAGCTTTGTTTCTGCCTGGTGTCAGCAGAGGTGCCCTGAGAAATCACAGAAGGAACCCTGTACATGAGGGACAGTATGATGCAGAGTAGGCTAAGTGCTAACCAGAACACACCACACCTACCTGTACCAAGGCAGGAAATGTCTGTGCTGCTGAATGCACAGGTGAAAACTCTACAGGGAGTTAGAAGGGACAAACTCCAGCAAGGCGCAGAAGTCCAGCATCTCAGGGATGAAGATAATCAACTACGGAAAAACTTCTTGGTTTGGGTTTGTTGTTTTATGTTTGGGGTTTTTTTTTTTTGTTTGGTCAAAACCAACAAATTATGTCAGAGGGCTGCCCACCTTGCTCATCACCTATCCAGGCTTATTCAGACATTTCTGAAGCTTTACCTACCTTATCTGTACATACATTCCTTTTGAAGATAATGATTTTTATTTAAACCCTCTCCAGAAGAGCGTTAATGCTTTCAAAGTTGAAAGGCAGCTTTCATAAAAGCAAACAAAACTGTTTCATGAATTGTTTGCTGAAATCCTTGGTAATTAGTTGTGTCTCCTTTCCATACTGCCCTGCAGTCCACCCTTCGTAAGCAGAAAGACAGACACTATTAAGCTATTAAAGCCATAAAGTCTGTTATCATCTGACTTACGTTATCATTTCATGTTAAAATTCACAAGTGTGCATTAGAAAATGTATACTACCTTGAAAAGGATTCTGCTCTGAAGTCCAGTGTGATCCATGCACAAGTTTTATGCAGTCATTATTTCTCTTAGAAGGATTAAGAGACAGAACTGCTATCTTCCTACCCCTTGTATCTGTGGGAAGGCAGACATAGACTCTGCAGTTTGTAAATACCACACCTGAGAATAGCCTCACAATCAAGGACTGCAGCTTCCGTTGTCAAACGCTTGATGAAGCCATAATTGGAAGACAGGAGTGACTGTAGTGCTAAGGCTTAATTTCCTGACTATCCAAAGTCTCCTGTTCTCAAATCACATTGCTGAAAAAAATTCAAAGGCAGGTACTACTCACTCGTTTTTCTACTAGCCTCAGCAACTGTCGAAATCTCTCATCATCCTTCACCCACTGAGGCAACTCTTTTTCCCCCTGGCTTTGAGCTTGTTCCAACTGTTCCTTCAGTTCCTTCAGCACTGCGATCTCTTGAACCAGCTGATCGTGCCAGGTTTTTGAAGCTTGCAGGTCCAGCTCCAGGTCTAGAGAGGTGCGGATTAGGCGCTCTGTACCACAGGACTTGACTGAAGGCTAGAAAAGATGGGGTGTAGGAACACAGTGATGAGAACTGTTCCAACCACTCCACCATGAAGGGCCAAATACATCATGAGACCCATTTTTCCAGCACTTCTGTTAGCATAAAGCATCTCCATTGATCCTGCTTTTCAATCTGTCTCAAGACAGAAAGCACAGACTCAAGCAAGTTTTCTAGATAAGGCTGTTGGTTTTTTTTCCCCCCACTTTTTCCACTAAATTTCTTCCTTGGCAGCATCTCCAAATCAAGCAAGTCTTGCTTGCAGACCTTGCTTCTAAGTTTAATGTCTCGTCTTCTGATGAATCCACCAGGCAGCAGAAAAAAAATTGTTGTTTTTTTTTTCCCAATAACACATTATGCTGCCTTCTGCTAGTTTCAAACACAAGCTGCCTCAAGTAAACCAACTCCTTAGGAGCTCAGCATCAGTATCCTGGGGGAATTTCAGCGATTGCCACCACAGCGGACACAGATGTTCAGTGTGTGCCACGAAGTCACAACAGGGTCACCTGAGCATCAGATGTCCTCATCACTGTCCTCACATTTATTATAAATACTTAAGAATCTCACAACAGTAGCGCTATTTGTGCTACTTCTGCTCGGACAAGATGGAAAATAACAGGAACCATTTTCCTAAACTGATTGCTCTAAATGAGTCCAACTTAAAACATTCCTGTCATATTCTAATATATCAAAGAAAAGTAACCTTGAGAGACCTCTCACACACAAAGAAAGGCTGTGAATGAAAGCACGTGGCAACTGGTTTATGTTCGCAAATTCTTCCTTTAAAACAGTTTTCCAGTTTTTACAAGTGGCTATGCTATAGAAAAAAAAAAAAAGATATGTTTTTACCCGTTTCACTCTGACACTTCGTCTCTCCATTGCATTTCGAACAAAGGGGGGCTTTTTGGATAGTGTTGAACTGTCACTGTCACTGCGATTCAGCTGGAAATGGAAGTGAAAACCACATATTTTTCATGAAACAAGTACTAGAAGTGCATACACACAATGTAAGCAAGATCAGATGGTTCTGTAAGTGATTATAAGCAGTGATGTAAGCAGAACTATGAAGTTTTGTGAAAGGCTACAGTGGACAGCTGCCACCCCAATCTGAGTGCAATCCGTTCAGCACAGCCAGATCCTGCCACAAGCCTTGAACTCTGTCCCTTTTTGGGAACACTGCATGGAAAGAGAGACACTAAGTTAAGGTATAACATGGGAATGTACCCCTCTCCACTTCTCCTGTGCGGGTAACTAGACTGGGGAAAACAGCCTAGAAAAATCAGCTCTAAGTTATAAAACAAAAAAATACTTTTTTCTAGCATCTGTAAAACATGGGACTATTTTATTAGAGATTTCTCTTTTCTCCAAAAAAAGCTGCATTAAAAGCATGCCCACTTAGCACAGGTAAGGCAGCATGTGATAAAAAGGCAGCATTTACTTGCTTGTCTGCCAATTCAATTTAAAAGTTGAGTTATTTACAGTTTAGGCTGAACCTCAAAATCCAGAAAATAATTGTGAGTAAACATTGCAAAGCAGTGGAAGTGACATCCTGACGCAGCACGTGGCCTGTTCAGTTACCTTAACACAAAGCACATCAGAGACTTTCAAGCTTCCATGATTTTTTCTGACATTATCATGTACTTACCTTTCCATTTCTACCAATCTTTTGTGTTCACCTCATCTAAAGTCAGGTGGACACAGCTGACTCAGTTCCAGTTAGCACAGAACAGTCTTAAAGAAGCAGGAAAAGGTTTGATATGCAGCTTATCACTGTCTTACAGCAGCCCTTCCAGGTTAGCTTGGGCATCTCAATATGCTGCATACACCACAAAACATATGCACACATTTTAGCTTGGAGAAGAGAAGGCTGAGGGGTAACCTCATCAATGTTTATTAATATGTAAAGGGAGAATGTCAAGAGGAATGTCAACCGATGGGCTGAGACCAATGGGATGAG